CAAAAACAAATAATAATGATAATAATAAATAAATAGGCCAGATGTGGTGGCACACACTTATAATCCTAGCACTCAGGAGGCTGAGGCAGGAGGATCGCTGTGAGTTCAAGGCCAGCCTAGGCTACATAGTGAGTTCAAGGCCAGCCTGGACTGTGTAGGAAGACCCTGTCTCAATAAATAAATAAATGAATAACCGGAAGATACTGGGGTTAAGCGTTCATAGGAAATGACTGACTGAGCCAGAATCAAACTCTGCTCCTTCTGCCCATGTTTTTGTCAAGCTCAGGCTGGTTCTTCAGAAACCAAAACTGACCAGGCACGCCCGTGATCCCTGGCATCTCTGGGAGGCTGAGTCAGGAGGATCACCGAGCTGGAATCCAGCTTAGGCAATTTAGTGATGTAGCGAGTCTCTGCTTCAAAATAAAAAAATAAATAAATACAAATAAAAAGGGCTGGGGATGTAGCTCCGTGTGAGGTCTTGGGTTCAATACCCAGTACCAGAAAGAAAGAAAAAAGAAAAGAAAGAGGGAGGGAGAGGAAGGCGAGAAGAGGGGAGAGGAGAAAAAGGAGAGGGGAGAAGCCGAAAGCTTAGCACAGTTGCTCAAGCAACGTCTGAGCGCCCCCGCCCCACTCGCCCCACGTGGCTTGGCCCCGCCCCGGTCGTCCACGGCTCACACGGCCACCCCAACTGCACTTTCTAGGCCCCCCTTGCAGACAGACAAACCTGTATCTGTCCTCCACTGGCTTCTTCACCGAGGGGCATTTCTCAGACCCTATCCTCCCCTGGTGACCCGCCTGGGATCCGCTATAACCTGGCTTGGCGGGAGGCACTGTGGACGAGTGCTTGCAAAGACGCTGGCCCCATGGAAAAAATCTTCTAGTCACACTGCAGATACCCAGGCGGGTCTCCCGAGATGCCCCCCACCCCCCGCCCCCTCTCCCCTCCCCCCTACTCTCGCCCCGCCCCCGCGCACGCGCATTGCCCCGGGCTTCTGCCCCAGCCCTAGCGGCTCCATAGCAGCTCTCTCTCTCCCCACTGCCCCGAACCCCGGGAAAGGCAGGACCTGCGACGCTGATGGCCACTGCCATCTATGGCTATGGAAACTTCAATTAATTAAATAATAATGAGAATGATTAACAGTGTCGTTCCTGCGTCAGGCTAGTCACATGCCAAGCGCTCAATAGCCTCTTGTGGTAGTGGCGCCGGCACTGCACAATAGAAAGCTTCTGTTAGCACAGAAAATTCTCTGGGACGGCGCTGGGTTGGACTTTAACAAAGGAAGCCCTGATTATCAGTTCAGAGGAGCCCAGGATGGACCTGACCTATCTGCGGGTTTGGGGCTGTTGTTTTTGTTGTGGGGTTTTGTGTTTGTTTGTGTTTTTGTTTTGAGTCAGGGTCGTGCTGTGTAGCCCAGGCTGGCCTAGAAATCGATGCAGTCCTCTTGCCTGTCTTCTGAGTGCTGGGATTACAGGAGTGCGCCACCACGCCCCGCTGGACTTGACCTGTTTGGCGAATCTTTCAACAAATATTTGCCACCTACTGTATTCGGAGCCCTCAACATGCAGTAGTGTGTAGCAGAGGCAGGCTGGACCTCCCAATGAAAAGGCCATTGTGAGGGGAGGCACCCAAGTATCAGAATGCAGGTTCAGCAGAGGCAGAGAGCCCAGACTGGTGGGCGGGGCTCCCTAGAAAAGGGGATATCTCCCCAGGTGTGATGCTGCACACTTACAATCCCAGCACTGAGGAGGCTGAGGCAGGAGGATCACTGCAAATTCTAGGCCAGCCTGGGTTACATATTGTAGTGAGTTCAAGGCCAGTCTGAACTACAGAGCTAGACCTTCTCTCAAAACCAAAAATGGGGATGGGGGCCTCTCAGTGCAAACCAGTGAGCTGAGAAGTCAGGTGACCAGCTTTGGGGCCACACTCTCTTCTGCCCTCAAGGGCCCTGAGGACAAACTGTCCCCACTGCCTGCACTAACCCCGCTTCTCCTCCCGAGGAGCCAGATCCTTGAAGGGAGGCTTCCAGCTGGGAGTGGGCAGGGTCTCCCTGAGGCCATTAACTCAAAGGCTCCCGGCCTGGCCTCAGGCTTGGGGACCAGTTAAACTCAGAGCTCTGTAGAAACAGGCCCTGGTCCTCCTTGGAGCAGAGGGCTCCTCTAGGGAAGCCGACTTGCAAAATACAGCCTTTCACTGTACCCCCAAGGCCAGCCCAAGATGCCAACCTCCCCAGAGCCACGCCAGGCTGGGGCAGCGTGGAGGCACAGGCCACGCCCCTGCAGGCCACCCCGCAGCTGCTAAGCCCCTCACCTAGCAGCTCCCACCCGCACATGCGCAGCTCGGTCCACGCAGCTCTGCCAGCTGCCGGGTCCCCGTCCTCTTCCTGGGCCCCTGGCCGGAAGCGACATCGCTGCTGTGACAGTCAGTGGCAGCTAACTGACCCGACCTTAGAGCACGTTTGTTTGGGAAAGAGGAGCTGAATGGCCTCCCGTCAGTCTTTCCTTGCGCACAAGGCCTCACTTAAGCCTCCTAAGCGGAGAGCGATGATTTCGGTGATTTCGCAGGGACAGTGATCCTCCCACCAGTGACACGCCCGGGAATGATGGTGACGCGCGCGGGATCACAGGCGCCACGGCCGGCCCCGCCCCCCACTGCCGTTTTGGCGCTGTCCCCGGTGTCCCGCCTTTGTCCCCATTCCCAGGGCGCCTCCACCCCGGCCGCGGTGGGTCCCGGGTTGGGAGGCAAAGCCGGGGGTGTGGGGTCCTGGGGCGCTCGGTACCAGTCCCTGCTCCGGGCGGTCGCAGAGTCGCCCTTTGTTTCGCGGCGTCACGATCACATGGCGCTTCCAGCAAGGGGTGTTCCGGGCGCCACGCCAGGGCCGGGTCACCCCGCCCCGCGGGCCACTTCCCGCCCCCACCCGAGCCTCGCGGTCCCCCCACGCCCCCCGCGTCTCCCGACCCACGCCCCGCTGCACAGCACGTCCTGAGCGCCCGGGTGGAGAGGTGCGGCCATGCCCACCGCTCCCGACAGACTGTCTTTTCTTCCCCACAGCCACTGTTTAACCTTCCCTAGCTTTTCACCCAGCACCATGGCTTTCGGGGTCGCACATCGCCCCTACTCTAGATAACACCAAGTGCTTAATATCAGGCTCCTCTTGCCGGCGTGGGGGCTCACGCCTGTAATCCAGGCACTTGGCCTGGTGAGGCAGGAGAATCTCGGCAGGCTGATGCAGGAGGATCGCCTTGAGTTCGAGGTCACCCTGGGCTACATAGTGAGTTCAAGGACAGTCTGAATTACATAGACAGTGTCTCAAAAAAACCGAACAAACCAAACAAAAACTCAGGGCTCCTTCCTGACCCCACACACCACAGTATCTAGGAGCTGGGAGAGTGGTACTGGGTTCCATCCTCATCTCTTAATGGGGTGGCAGAGGCAGCCCTGGGCCTCCTCCCTCCCTTCTCCACCCCATCACCCACAAGCAAAACACCAGATAAATCAGCACCCAGCCTGGGCCTGGCCCTCCTCTTTGGTACAGAGAGCTTCTGGGCCAAAGCAGCACTCTGCCGGAAGTGAGGTCTCCACTTCTGCTGTGGCCTAGCCCCCTGCAGGGCCATTAGGCCTGGCCATTCTGTTCTGTGTGCCTGCAGCACCATGGAGCCTTGTGGGGGCCACCTTAGTAGGTCAAGCATTCATTCAACAAATGTTTATTGAGCGCGTACTATGTGCAGGGCAAACTAGGCCTCCCAGAGCATGCTAAGCACCAGGAAAAGGTAAGGGATTCCCTTTGCTGCACAAAGGGCTGGTGGCATACCCTGTCGGCTTTGGGGTATGTTGGCTCCCGGCAGGGAGCCAACTTCTCTGGGTGGGTGCTGCCATTAGGGGGGCTGGCACTGGGTCCTTGGCCTAGGAGATGGAGCCAGAAGGGGCGCTGTCAGCCACTGTGTGAGCCTGCAGCAGGGGTCCAGGGGTGCCCCTCTCTGGGCAGTCCTTCCTGGCGCTGTCCTCTGGGGACAGTGGTGCAGTACCGTTGCTGTGGCCTCAGGGCTTGGTGGGGAAGAGCAGACAGGTGAATCCCCAGCTGCCACCATGTCTGTCCACCAGCAGCAGAGCGTGCTTCGCATGGTGCTGGATCATGGCGGCCACGGAGGAGAAGAGCTACAGGGGGGCCGCGTCTGTGAGTCCCGAGGCCCTGCGCCTCACACTGCCAGCAACTTCCCAGGCCAGCCAGGGGCTCCAGGGCGGGGCTTGCGGACATTTTCCTGGGTCTTTCCCTTCTGATTGTCCCACGAAGCTCCACCCCCATTTTACAGCTGGATTCTAAGCCTCAAGCAGTTTCCCTGCCCCCTGGGTACACTGTCGGGGTTTCCAGACTGGATGAAAATAACTGCCGTGGTCCCTCACCGTGGGGATCCGAGTGCAGGTGACTGTCCAGCCTGCACCCCAGCAAATGCTGGGTGCAAAGTGGAATCCTTGGGGGAGGTAGGAAGAGGTGTAGACTCCTGGGACTCTGCTTTCCTGTTCTCCTCCCGGCCTTTTTTTTTTTTTGTCTTTTTAAGACAGGGTCTCGCTATGCAGTTCAGGCTGGCCGTGAGCTCACTTTGTAGCCCAGGCTGGTCCCGAACTCGCAAGGATCCTCCTGCCTGAGCCTCCCAAGTGCTGGGATTACAGGCGTGCACCACCACGCCCAGCTACCCCGGCCTTATAGTAAGTACAGAGGTCCCTACCTGGCTCCAGCCTCTGTCATTTCTGCCCACCCCAGAAACATATAGGACATACCCCTGGCCGGGCCCAGAGTGCTGCGCCCTGCCCCTTGCTGGTGTGTGAGGCCCCTGCTCCCCCCATACCCACCTCCTCACGGTGCTTGCCCTCCCGGCCCAGGGCGTAGTGGCGCCCGCCATCCAGCTGCCGGATGGGGATGTTGAAGACCCGGCCTCGCAGGAGCACGGCCAGGGTAAAGGGCTGGGAGCCGTAAGGCCCCGAGCTGGGCCGCACCGTGTAGGCCCCGTCCTGCGGAGGAGACCCCAGCCGTGAGCCTCATCGTCCAGCTGTGCATCCCAGCGCTGCACGAGGTGTCCAGAGCTCGTGCGCCCTACAGCTGCAGCCTGGGCAAAAGGGACCCTGGGGAAGCCCTGGCTTCGGCAGATGCCCACCTTTTGGAAGCGGAGCAAGGCCGTCTCAACAGCGTGCCGGTCACAGTTCCCCGAGTACCACGGCTGACCCAGCAGGCCACAGTCCTGTGCAAGCACACACACACACACACACACACACACACACACAGCCACTCAGACGTGTGTCTTGGCGCTGGGTTACGCATGGGGAGCAGAGAATCCCGGATGCGTTATTTTGTGTTCACAGCTGCCTGCTGCAGGCTGAGCACCCGCCCAGCACAGCAGAGAGGCGGCCGAGAGCAGGGCACCGCTGGGTGCTGGACTAAGGGCTCCATGCGGTTCCTGGGTCAGGACTCCGGGGTTCTGCTCCCGCCCCCGCCCCCACCACCAGCCACTCCTCACCTCCGTGACTGAGGAGTTCCCGATAGAGGCTTTGGAGTGAAGAGACAATCTCCTTCCGGCTGAAAGATGCGGAATATACAGCAGGGGGTTGGGGGCAAAGAAGGTAGCTTCCAGGGTCAGGGGCAAGGCACAGCGTTTCCCAGTGCTCTGGTCCAGCTCCCGGTAGGACCCACCACTTGGCCTTGGGTGACTTCCCAACGAATGACCAAATGACCTTGAGGCACAGACTGGGGCTTGCTGATTGGGTGCGGAATGGAACACACCCCTTGGGGTTCCCTCAGGCCTGACCTTGGCTGGAGGCAGAGCTGCAGAGACCCCAACCTTGGCAAAGCCAGGCCTGAGGGACTGGGACAGACTCTGGCCTGCAGGGCCATAGCAACTTTGGGCCAAGGCAGGACGGCCTGGTTTGTGCAGAAGATACGTGTACGAAGGTCCACGCACTCACCTTTAGAGGTGGCATCTGCCGCTCCCTGGAATGTGAGGTCTGGTCAGAAAATAGCTGGCCAGGGCCTGAAGTCCACCCTGAGCCACCGTCCCTGTCCCCCCTTCCCCCTTGATCTTGACCCTCTTACATTCCGAGCTTCTGCGGGAGCTACAGTAGACCTGCAGGAAACAAATTGGGGAACAGAGCTCAGGGTCTCCATCACCTCCGTGAGAAGGAGCCCATAAGCCAGCATCCCAAACTGTCCCTGCCACCGCTGCCAGGAGGTGGTGCCCCAGAGTCGGGACCAGCAGGACACTCACCTGGGCACCGCAGAGGTCCTCGGCAGAGGGGCTGGGGGCATCAGAGCTTGGGAGCTCAGAGTCCAAGCCAAAGTAGGAGCTGAAACAGAGAGTCCAGGCTGGGGACAACTGCAGGGCTTGGGCTTCCCGGGAGTCCTGGCAACCGGAGGCAGAGGACCGCCTAAGAGTGCCCCAGCCCTCACTTTGCGGGGGTCACCTCCCTGGTAGACACCATGGAGGGGCAACTAGGGCCAAAGCAGAACTGAAGATGCACTTGTCCCTGTGATGTCCCAGGAGATGTGTGTTGGGGGGCAGGGAGGGGGTGGGGGAAGAAGACAAGGCCAGGAGAGTGTGTGTGCATATGTGCGTGTGTGTGCGCGTGTGCGTGTACGTGCATGCACACACAGCTGAGAGCCTCAGGGACAGCATGGTCCAGAGGCTGGGAGGCGCTCACCTGGGTCGGGTTCACACTGCAGGTAGATGTTCTCATCGGGGCTCTTGGCAGGGCCTGGCACCTAAGCAGGTAGGGGTGTGTGAGACCTGGGGTTGACCAGCCCTGGGGTTCCTTCAAGACTAGGGACCTCTACCTCCTGCCACGGGGGCAGCCGAGGGAAGGAATCTTGATTGTGAGGGTTGCTCTGGGCACCTCACTCCCTCCTCACCAAGGAGCCTTCGTTTTGGGAGAAGCTAGAATGATTAAAAGTGCTCTTTTGAGCAGGGTTGAGGCAGAAGGATCGCCGCAAGTTTGAGCCAGCTGGGGCTACATAGCAGGCTCAAGCCCAGCCTGAACTACATAGCAAGACTGTGTCTCAGAAAAAACCCCAAAAAACTGGCCAGGTGTGATGGTGCATGCAGGTAATACCGAGCACTAGGGAGGCTGAGGCAGGAGGACGACCACAAGTTTGAGGCCAGCCTGGGCTACACAGTGAGTTCAAGACCAGTCTGGATTTCATAGTGAGACCTTGTCTCAAAACAAAATAAAACAAAACAAAAAATTAAACTATATTGAGTTAAATTGTCCCTTGCTTGGGAGGGGAAAACCCATGGCCACCTTCCTCTTCAGAGGTGTCACGGGCTGCAGCTCTGAGGATGTGGGTGTCGAGAGGACCCCTGGGTAGTGCCCCACTGGCTTACGCCTGCCGAGGACCTGTGGCGGGGGGCTCTGTTCTGGGCCTTTCCCCGTGGCTTCAGGGATTTTTCCTGGCTGTCTCAGGACGTCTCACCCCAGTGTTCCGGGCAGAACCACAGAGAGAGACAGGGATGGCGGAGACTCACCACTCCAGAGGGTGCGCGCCACTCTGCAAGGGAAAGGGAGGGCCGAGGTCTTGAGCAGTGGGCTTGGCGTAGGGCACCTAGGACGTCTCTGCCGAGGGGGCCCCCTGACCCCCGGCCAGGAGGATGCCAGCCTCATCGCACAGCATCTTTCCTCACAAGCCCATAGTGACCTGGCTTGACCTTCCAACCTATTTGCCAGGCTTAGCTCCGGCTGACTTGAGGCTGGCTCGGATTATCAAAGCCACCCTCAAGGTCACCAAGGTCTACTAGTTCTGGGCACAGTAAAACAGGATGTGCCTCAGGTGACCTGTTTGACCTTGGGCAGGGAGAGGCCATGTTCCCTGAGGTCCCTCCCTGTCCTGACATTCCAGAGTTCTAGGGTCTCGTAGGCACAAGTCCCTGGATAATGACACAGTAAGCTAGGAGTGGTGGCACACGCCTATGATCCCAGCACTGAGGAGGCTGAGGCAGGATGATCACTTTGTGTTCAAGGCCAGCCTGGGCTACATAGTGAGTTCAAAGCCAGCCTGAACTACTTAGGACAAAAACAAGTGGTAAGTGGTGACATGGATGGAGTCAGACAGTGGTGGCTCGAGGGTCCCCCCTTTGATGGGGTGGGTAGGACTCAGATGTCTCAGCAGAGAGGGTCCTGGAGGCACAGCAGGCTGCCCTTGAGACCTGGGGGTGGCTGCTGTGTGTGTCATCTCAGCACAGCAGTTCCTGTCTCTGGGCAGAGTAGGAGAGCCTTGAGCAAGCCCAGCTCCACGCGCGTGGGGTAAGGATTCCCCTATAGCTTGGAGCCGTGGAAAAAGAGGACGCCCCCCCTTACCTCGCCTGCCGAAGTTGGAGCCCTGCTTCATGGCCACATGTGGGGGCACTGGTGCCTTCAGCTGCGGGCACAGTGGGGCCGGTGAGGGGGCGGAGGGTTGGGGTTCTGCTGCAGCTGCAGCTTGAAAAATCAGTCACCGATACACAAGCAGATTCACAAAGGGAGGACACCGCTCTGTCTCTACTCTGTAGCTCTCTGCTATCTCCCCGCTTTTCTTTGTACAACAGTACAGCACAGGATGAAAGCGGAAGATTTCAAAGTCCATAATCACAGCAGGAAGGGAAGCTGCCCGGAGCTGCTGGCCACAGCCGCGAGGGACTTCTGTTCTCTGGGCAGCGAGGGTCCTCGGGCCCCAGGGGCCCGGGGAGGGCAGCTGAGCCTGGCCCCTGCCCCCAGGGCGTGACAGAGCAGAGGCCGTGTCCTGCGTGACCCCCCAGGGGAAGGGTAACCGGGCCAGCTGGGTGGGTGGAAGGGGTGACTGACACTGCGGGTCCCAGGGCAGTGGCTTTGGACACCTCCAGCTGAGCGTTCAGGGGCCTCTTGAATGCAAATATGAGGTGTCTTGCAAATGAGCTGTCTCTAAGATTTACTCACCGGGAAGTGGTGGCCCGGGGTGGGGCCGGTGGGAAAGGTAGGACTTGTGAGGAGGCCTCTCCCCTTGGTGGGCTGAGGCCCGGGGGATGGGGGGCCCATGAGGCTCGAGTGATCTGGAAAACACCCCATGTGTTGTGGGTTGGGGGCTTCCTCGGGGGCAGGCCCGTTTTCCCCCGCCCCCACTTATTTTCTATCTCCTCTCCCTCCCTTGTGCCCCTCTGATGTAGGCTTCCTGACAGCCTGGTCTCCTTGGCAACTGGAAGTGGCCAGCTTCCCTGCCCCCACCTGGCGCAGCCCAGGAGCTGGGAGTGGGGTGGGATGCCAGTGACATGCAGGCTCTCCGGGGACCCCCACCTGACCGAGGATGTGCTGGGATGTCAGAGGGGGAGCGCCAGGCTCCCAGGGACCCTGTCAGTCCTTCCGCTTTGTACCGTTGCCTTGGTTACCCCCTTCCTCCTTTCCTCCATCTTTCTCTCCCCCTCTGCCCATCGGGGAGGCACCAGTGGCTGCCAGCTGAGGCCTCCCTGTCCTTCTCTGAGCTGGCAGTGCAAGCTGAGGGAGCGGCAAGGCCCGGACTGTCTTCCCTTGGGGACCCTCCGGCCTGCCCAAGCCCTCCACCTCCCTACCCCCACCCACTCACACACTTTCCGGGCCTCACCCAGGTACAAGGAGGCCTCTTCCACGCCAGGAAGGTGCGCAGGGGCCAGACCGCGGGGCAGAGCCTCACAGGGAGGCAGCTCGTACTTATCCTCTTCCGCTTCTTTCTGCTGGGCCTTCAGGAAGGGAGGCTGGGCCCAGGAGGACGGAAGGTGGACATGTCTGGGACGCTGGTGGCCACTGCCACCTCCTCCCCTGTGGCAGCCGCAGCGGCTGTACTTACCTTGTGCTGCCAGGTCTCTGGGGCAGGCAGAGGAGATGGGCTGGGGGCATCGTCTCTCCAAGCTGGGGCAGCTGCACAGAGAGACCGGCCTCACCTCTTCCCCAGCCCCGCTCCTCCAGCACAAAGCCCTGCTGTCTGCCCGGAGTAAAACCCTCTGCCCTTGACAGTGGGCTTCAACCCTCCCGACTCGGGGGACTCATCCACCACAGCGTCTCTCGTATTGCAGTGCGCAGATTCGGAAACGAGGCGCCACCCGCCTGTGCCAGGCCCCTGCCCCTGCCCCTGCCGCGATGCTGACCGAGGCAGGAGCCAAGCAGTGCTCAGCCATGGTGCGGTCCAGACCCCCCCGGGGAGACCCTACTCTTGGGGGACCCCGCTGTGCTGGGCCCCTCTGGCCCACTGTGTCACTTACCCTTGCATCTGGGGGGTGGGACCGGGGGCCCCAACCTGCAAGCAGACTCTGGTCAACTCTGCCCAGGGGGCCCTTGAGTTTGTGTCAGCTTGATACTGTATCTAGGACATTCCCATCCGTGACAGTGTGAATCCCCAGCAGCTGTGTGACCAGGGCAGCTGGGGTGGAGGCTGGGGCAGAGCTAGTGGCCTTTGGGTGCACAGCTGGATGAGTTGGTGCACCCGAGAGTGGGGGAGCTGGGTGCTGGGTGCTGGGTGCTGCCAGAGGGTGGAAGCACATGAACAGTAGTGGCGGGTGCAAGCCAGCACCTCACCTAGGCCAGCTGCGCCCGCAAAAGAGGGATGGCGGTGGGGCAGAGAGGAGAGGGCCAGCATGAGCGAGAGAGGCGCCCAGGTACTCACCGGGGCTTGTTTCTGCTGAGCTTGTCCTGGAAAGAGCCAGGGAGGGGCGTGGAGAAGGGGCGGTCAGTACCGCCGGGTGGCCTGGCCCTGCCCAGGGTCCTGGCCTCCCAGCGCTGGCCACGTTCAGATGCCTGGGACACCTCTGGGACCAAGTCTCACCATGGCACGGGAGAAGAGCTCTGCCTCTCCAGAGGGGCCCAGGATCTGCCGCAAATGGCCTAGGGATGGCGACCTTATTGTTCCCGTTATTTGCATGTCCTAAGCACCAGGAAGGTGGCCCGAAGGGACTTCACCCAGGACACTCCCAGCGCCACCCCACTGCTCCCTCCCCAGACCTTCGCGGCTGCCCACAGCCCTCTGATCAATGTGGCCTTCCCAGATTCACAGACAGCCTCACATGCTGGAGCCAGTGAGAAACGGAGCGGCCCCTGCTCCACTGAATACCCTTCACTCTTGCTTTCGTTTGAGGGGGAGCAGTGGTCAGAGGTCCAAGAGAAGGGATGAGAAGCTCAGAAGCAGCCTCTCCTATTTGGTGTGACAGCTCCGCTTTGGATGGCTGTGTTTACTCCTTCAGCGGTGTCTGTCCAGTGCCCATGATCGATAGGCAATGTTCCAGGTGACGGAGACACCTAGAGAAATGAGGCTGGCATCACACGGGCGTTTCCTTGCTGGGGTCTCAGAATAACCCTGTGAGTGAGCACTAGTTTTATCTCTGCTTCTCAAGTGGAGACCTGAGTGTCTTAGCTCAGACTGTCGTAACAAGACGGCATAGACTGGTTGGCTTAAGCAATAAAAATTTTATTTTCTCATCACTCCAGAGAAATCTAAGCTCAGGGTGCCATCAGGGCTGGCTTCTGGCGTGGCCTCCTTCCTGCGCTTGGAGACATAGTTGGCTCTGTGTGTCCTCACTTGGCCTCTTATCTGTACACAGAGAGAGGGGCAGAGAGAGAGACAGAGACAGAGAGCTACCGTTATCCCTCCCTCTCTCATAAAGACCTTAGCAGTGGAAGGCCCCCCTCCTAAAATCCTGCTTTACCTTAATTGCCTCCCATTTACAATCCCACTGGGGATTAGGGCATCCGAGAAATAACTGGGGGGAGGCACAATTCAGTCCATAACGGTGAGGCTCTGAGAAGCTGAGGAACACCCTCAAAGCCACGCAATTAGTAAAGTGCTGCAGGAGAGACTGAACCGACAATGCCAGCCAGACCTAGAGCCTGCACTTGGGTCTGGACCCTTCTTGCGCCCCATGAGATTCCACTCACTGGCGCTGGTGGGCTTTCTTAAGGACTTCCCCGTGCTCTGTTCCTCAAGTGGATTTTGAAACATCAGCTTTTGGGATGCGTTGGCATAAAGTGAAGGGGGCCTGGTGCCTGACTCTTTAAACCAGGAAAGGAGGAAACGGGCTGTGATCCCAATGTCAACACTTTTAGAGTCCTGTAGCTGTCCTGCATTTAATATTTTGTTGATATGCTGGCTGCTGGCACACAGGAGAAATGCAACATCCGGGTTGGAGCTGGCCAGAGCCTTAGAGAGAAAGACCAAAGCCGGGCCTGGTACACACCTGTGACCACAGCACTCAGGAGGCTGAGGCAGACGATCGACGTGAGTTCAAGGCAAGCCTGGGTTGCATAGTGAGTTCAAGGCCAGCCTGCACTGCAAAAAAAGAAAGAAAGAGGGGGCTGGGGATTTAGCTCAGTGGCACAGCGCCTGCCTGGCAAGTGCAAGGTTGTGAGTTCGATTCCCAATACCAGGAAGGAAAAAAAAGAAAGAAAGAAAGAAAGAGGGCTGGGGATATAGCTCAGCGGCAAAAGTGCCTGCCTGGCAAGTGCAAGGTCCTGAGTTTGATTCCTGGTACCAAAAACAAAACAAAACAGAAAGAAAGAGAGAGAGACAGAGAGGGAGGGAGGGAGGGGAGAAGGAAGGGAGAGAGAGAAAGAGAAACCACATGACCTGCAGGCAAACGGGCACCTAAGCCCTGAAGAGGGCTGCAGAGTAGCTCAGTGGCCCAGGGCTTGCCTGGCGTGAACAGGGCCTGGGTTCGCCCCCCAGCAATGCACATAAAGAGGCCATGAAGAGTCACTGGGCGGCAGCTTAAAGGCAGTGTAGTGGGGGAGATCAGGGAAACAAAACCAGAAAATCTGTCCTCGCTCCCGAGCTGACCTTTGGTCCCTAAGGCAGGGGACGACTTCCTCTCCCTCCAAGAGACATCCCTCCATGGGACCAGAGTCCTCCGCTCACAGTGCGCACAGTACTCTGGGCCCCACCCTGCCACAAACCCCAAACCCACTGAGTGTTGCTGGGCCCAGCCACCTTCGCCCTCTGCCAGGCTTTGCATAGGCAAATGCTGAGGCCTGGGCTACTGCGAGGCTGGGGCGAGATGGAGCCCACGCCATGGGGCGGGCCCGGCCTGTGCAGACCTGGCAGGAGGTGGAGGCGGAGGCCGCCTCGGTGGCTGTGTCAGCCAGCCCGGAATAGACAGCCGTGGACGTGCTCGCCCTCCCTCTCTGGCACAAGGTGGTTTTGTGTACGCACAGCTATTCCCCGGGGAACAAGTTCCTAGAAGCAGGGCTACTAGAAGCTCTCATTCGGAGGCTTTCATGCCACGCTGGCTGGGGCATCTGAGTGCCTTTTTGTGGTCCTTCCAGAGCACGATGTGAGTCTCCAAATTTCTCAGGCCTCAGCTCATGCCCAGTGAGAACAGGTTATAATTTACAGGCCCAGGTCGTCTAAATTCACCCAAAGAGCCATCTGGATCCGTATTAAAAGTCCGAGATTTCCAGGCTCCCCCTAAGATCGCGAAGAATTGGATCCCCCTAGAGAGGGACTTGGGCCTAATCGGTTTCACAGGCCCCCAGCCCCATCCCATGATAAGTCAAGTTGACAAAGGCCGCTCCATACAAGCATCCTGAGGGCATGTAACCTTCATAGGACTTTGTTAGGATCACATGCTTGTTGAGGACACAGAGGTCCCTGGCAGAAAAGGATTGCGGCACAGTTCCTGCCCTCCAGCGGTGCTGTGAGTGGTGGACAGGGCAAGCCCAAGGACATGTCCAGTCCCTCCGGCTTCTGTGTGTCCTTTTGCACGAACGGGGACATTCATAAGGCATTTGTCACGTGGGGTGGGGGGTGGCTTCTGAGGGTTGAATGTGCTGACCACACTGTGCTCTAGGGGCTTGGTAGGGTCAGTGGTGTTGGAAAATGCTAGGCTACCTTGGTCATGACCTTTGGGACACTGTTTCTCTTCTTTCTTTCTTTCCTTTTTTAGACAGGGTCTCGCTATGTAATTCAGGCTGAACTTGAAGTCACTACGTACCCCAGGCTGGCCTCAAACTCACAGTGATCCTCCTGCCTCAGCCTCCCAAGTGCTGGGATTACGGCTGTGTGCCACCATGCCCTGCTTCCCACATATATTTATTGAACACAGCAAAATTCTCCCTACCAGCGACCTGGACCTACTGCTTCAAACCACGATCCTTGCTAATAGTTGGATAGGTCAGTCCTAGAGTGTCAAAGTGTAATTTTCTCTAAAATAAGAAGAAAAATATCCAATGCACCTTAATGAAATGGCCTAACTACTGGAATGTTAGTCGTTTTTGCAAGATAATTAGCATAGGTAGATGGAGTCCTTAGGACAGGCCACTGGAGAGCGGGTCACCCCGGCCCTGGGAGGCAGTAGAGTTTCCGGATCATCATGTTCCCATTATCCAATTGGAGACATCGCAGGAATACCTGTGTGATCAGAGGTCAGCTCAGCTGCCGGCCAGACCAGGAGTTACCCAGCGTGCTCCTCTGACAGGGGCCCACGGCAGCCCTGATGAAGTCCTGGTGGATCTGGGCTCAGGACCCGACGGTGCACTCCAAGCGCTGCTCCAAACTCACATGACCCTGCCTGCTTCCCCGCAGCCCCTAGACCCCCAGCATGCCACAGCCTTCTCCTACCTACTGAATATGCATGAACTGTGCTTTGGCCTAAGCAAGATTTGTTTTTTTCTTTTCTTTCTTTCTTTCTTTCTTTCTTTCTTTCTTTCTTTTTCTTTTCTCTCTCTCTCCCTCCTTCCCTTCTTCTCCTTCCCTCCCTCCTGTCTCTTTGTCTCTGTCTCTCTTGCTCTCTCTTTTGTACCCCAGGCTGGCCTCGAACTCGCAGCAATCCTCCTGCCTCACCTCCCAAGTGTGGGGATTACAGGCGTGTGCCACCACCCCCGGCTCTTCTTACTTTGAGTGAGGAGCTCTTATCTAGAGATAAACCAGCAACATCAGCAGGTCCTCCCACATGGGCACTCAGGGACCCGAGTGGGGAGGCTCCTGGGAAGGTGGAACCGGAGAACCCAGCTCACCCCTTTTCTTTTCTTTTTTTTTTATCTTTTGGAGACAGGGTTTCACTATGCAGTTCAGGATGGCCTTAAACTCACTTTGTAGCCCAGGCTGGCCTCGAACTCACTATGATCCCCCTGCCTCAGCCTCCCGAGTGCTGGGTTTACAGGCGTACGCCACCACGCCCCGCCACCCCTTTACTTTAGACTCTTGGGCCTGTGTCATGACGAGCCTGAGTTACTTTTGTTACCTAAAATGTTAATCAATAAAGACAGAAAGAAGAGAAGAAGGCGGAGGGGGAGGAAGTGAAAGAAGAGGAGGCGGAGACAGGAACGTGACCTGGATTCCAACAGGAGGAAGCACAGAAAGCCAAAATCCCAGGGGAAGCCAGGGCCCTGGGAGTGGCCAGACAGGCCCAGGTCAAATTGTGGGCTGAGGGGCCACGCTGGGATGGCCAGATGTTCCTTAGCAAGGGGAGTCAGGGCAGAGGAGGGAAGGCCGGAAGGCTGCTGGTAACGCAGACTGTTCTCCCAGAGCGATGGGGACGGGCGGGCAGTGGAGGCTTGGGGGGTTAGAAAGCAGGGAGGGAGGACTGTCTAACGTGAAATCAGGGCAGGGGGGTGGTGTGGGGAGAGGCCTGGCCACGGAAAACGGAGAGGAGGCCCTGTCTGGGCTGGGGCCTCAGACTGTCTTCCACCAGGCAGGCACTCGAGTTGGAGGCCAAGGCCTTCCTGCTGGAGGCCCCGAGGCCCGCAGAGCTCTGTCTCTGGCTGGGTCCAGCTCCTGTCAGACGCAAAGCTGAGGAGACAGAGCCTGCGTCAGGGACGAAGAGCCTGGCTTAGGACCATGCGTCAGAAGCCTCTTTGTATCCCACACCCGCT